CCCGGGAAATGGAGCACTTAATATCTGAACATGGACACCATTAGAGTCAAATATAGTGAGCAGGCCCCCTGGCATCCTGCGCTAGGACTTCAAAGAGTGGAATATTTAAAACATGACAGGAAAATTTCACATGTATTTAGAACACTAACTCGAGTGACTTTCAAGTGACCGGCACACAAAGTACAAAAACTCTGAAGGTGTTAGTAGTGACACACAAAGGCTGTAGATATAGATTTACAAGGGAAGGCAGAATCAAAGCATCTGCCATGAGCCGGGTGATGCAGCCAATTTGCATTAAATACTGCAGAATAGTTTTGTGTGCTGCTCTGCTGTGGTAGAGACCAAACACGTCCTGCCAAGAGTGCTATAGTTAACATGCTGTGTAAACTGTGCGCTGCATTAAACAAGCTGTGCTCCAAAAGTAAGTGCATGAGTCACCGGCAGCCAACAAGTGCAGCAGAATATACTGTGTCATGTTTCATCTAGGAAGCCCTAAGCAGCGCAGTTTAAAACTGAGAAAGAGAGAGAGAGAGATCCATGAATGCCACACTGATTTCTGAGTCGTGACTTCCGGTTCAAGCAGCCTGTTTGTGAGAACATGCAGCACGGCTTGCACGTAAACAGGAGGGAAGGCTGCAGGGTATTAAATAGTGAGGAATGCCTGCAATTTGCCGGGAGAGATGTGGTAAGAGACATTGGCTGTGAAACCATCATGGGAGTGCCTGCACATATACAATGACACAAAAGTGTGACTGCACGTGTGAATGCTGGAGGAGGGGAAGTATAAGCGTGCAATAACAAAAAATGTGTCTAAAAATAAGAACAATTAAAAGGTATTTAGTACAGAAACAGCTATAAACTCTGTCAGACACCATGTTACACATCAACTCTTCATCTTCTCAAACATCATAAGACATCTACCGGGACCTTTGACACACACCATCTTTTGAAGCATAGCTCTGTATCAATACAAATTATAAAAATGCTTTTGAACAGGGTAAAACTCCCTGCAGTCCACTTCAACCAAAGTGGAAACCTGCTTCAATTGAACAGGCACACATAAATAAATACTGTAAATAAACAACAGATGGTGACCCGAGGCTGGGCAGAACCCTCCTCCCCCCATCTTTCCTTTGCTCAGTTCTCCAGACACATGATGCTCAGCCCCATTACACACCAGACAGCCAGAGAGCACAAACTCACCATGGAGGGCACCAGTGCAAGGTACCCATCACAGTTTTGCTGTTGGCATCTTGACTGGGGAACACACATACAAAGTGCTCTCACTTGACTGGCGTAAATGCTTTTTAGCTGCATCATTCTTTATCTGCTGCAGTGACTTCTGCTGTTGTAGTGGAACAGTGAGGCACTGTGTATTCTTCTGTAAGCAAACCTCAAAAGCACAAATTTCAGTTGTACTTTAGCAAGGTGATCATTAAGGGTGTGACGAATTGTGTAATATTTGAGGTGGATAATGATGACATAATATTCATAAAACAAGTTGTACAATAGGAATTGACACAGAGCCAGTAATAGCAAAGTTTAGTAATAGTGTATTGTGGTAGTGTTTATAGTCAGAGAACACAGTTCGGTCTTTGAATGATATGTAGATTCATAAATACATATCAGGCATATTATATTCTTATGTGGAAGTCCATTCCACTTCCATTTCCAATATAGGAACCTACCAAAACGTGTCGAGCCGAGTACCGCTCATCATGGGTTCTGGGGGTGGACGCAGAGCTGTTGTTCTTTATTGATTAAATATCTGAATCTTGAAACCTCAAATATTATTATTACAAACACGGTCTGTAAACACACTCGCTGGTTTAAAAGAAAAAAGGTGGGCCTCACTCATTGGTTTAGTGGTAAAACTGGGACTTCAGTCAATGGACTGAGGGAAAAGAGAAGAAGATATGGTTTGTGTTCTGGTTGTTCAACAGCTGTTTCATAAACTGCTCATACAGTCTCTGTTACTGGCTGATTGTTGTACTGTGGAGTGATCCTTCATGTCCTTTGCTTCCTCTGGCCAGTGTCATCATCTCTCCATCAAGTCTGCTGAGCTGTGACTCTTGCAGTCGTATCTTGGCAGTCACAGGACACCCCTAAAAACACTACCAAGTTTCATCAGGGTGTTTCAGAGAAACGCTCTGATGCCAAACTAGGTGCAGGA